AAGTTTGATATTCTTTTATTGCTTTAATTGAGGGGAAGTTATCTCCAAGTTATGCATATGTTGAGGGGGAGCTCTTAATTTTTTATTATAATCAAAATAGGGGGAGAAATATTTAAAGCCTACTATGATTGATTTTAAATATTATTTGGTATGTTTAATGTGTTTGTTAGTATGACAAATAAAATAGGTTATTACAAGACTTTAAAAGAAAATTTTGATCATCATCAAAAAGGGGGAGATTGTTGAACATTCAAGGACTTGATGTTGAACTTACATGGACATGAAGCTTGTTGATTTTGATGATGATTCAAGAACAAAGAACTTAGAGAGTTGAAGGCTTGTTTTATTGTGTAATAACTCTGTTTTGATTAGTTTGAGTCTGTAATATTAGAGTTTAAGATAGCCGGTACATAGTCTACACTTTAGAAGCTTCAAAAACTCAAAATTATCAGTTTGCCTCGGCTTTAATCGATTAAATGGTCAAATAATCGATTATTACAGTGAGAAAAACCATTTTCTGTATCTGTTCACTGTAATAATCGATTAACACACCTGTTAATCGATTAACAGGCCTGTTAATCGATTAACAGGGCTTTTAATCGATTAAAACAGAGAGTTTTGGGGTTCTGTTGATTTTGGCTCTGTAATAATCGATTAACACTTCATTTAATCGATTATTTCAGTTAGATTTTTATTTTCAACTTCAAATCAACCCTATTTTCGAAAACCCTAATCCCAATACTCTCTAGTTTAGAAAATCCCAATTCCCAAACCCTAATTTCTCTACTTAAGGTTCTCTAAGGCTCTCAGAAAAGAGAACAACCTTTTTTAAACAAAATTTAAGTGTTGTGAGTGTCAGAGAACTGTTTGTTGGAGGAAAAATGGGCTTTTGGAACCTGGTGTGGGCTAGAAATGATAAGAATCACTAAGTGGAGTTCTTAGTGGATTGTGTGTTGTGCCATCTCTGGGAAAATTTGTTCTTCATCTCTTGTGGGTTTCAAGAGAGGTGTTTTCTTTACTTTGTATTTTCAATTGTTATTTGTTTGTAACAACTTTGATTATAGTGACAACGTTAATCCTCTGTTTGAGTGATTAGCAACTGAACGTAGGGTCTTTTGATCCGAACCAGTATAAATCTCCTGTGTAAGACTCTATCTCTATCTTATTTACGTTTACACATCTTTTTAATCGGTAAAATTTGGGGAAAATTTTGAAAACCTAATTTTTGTTAAGAAACCAATTCACCCCCCCTCTTGGTTTTTGTCCGACCACGCGAACATTTCGTTGCGCGATTCTAACAAAACTTTGAACACAACAGATGGTAATGATATTTATAAGGGTATACAATGGAAGCTAACAAGATGAAACAACTCCTAGCACAATCAATGAAAATAAATGATGTCAATAAGCTTTTGTAGGAACTTCCAGTGCTATTGTTAAAGCACTCATGTGCAAAACTTCTTCACTGTATCGGAGTTGACAGGCAGAGGTAACTCATCTCCATCCACCTTGGTGAGGATCAAGGCTCCTCCAGAAAAAGCTCTCTTTACCACATACGTGCCCTCTTTCTATCCTCCTTGGTCTACTTGTACCCTAGACCGTACGTGCCCTTGTTCTCCGGAATCTCCAGAAGAGACGAAAAACCTTGATTACTCTTCTCGAGCCCAACCCCACGCTTGAATTCGTCCTTTAACAAGACTCTAACCATCATCAGAGTTGCACATGACAACTGAGGCTTGGCCCGAAATGGTTCCACGTAAGCACTATCTATAATTTCCAAGGACTGGAAAAATGTCTCTGACACCTCCATTGTTGTCTCGATATATCGAGTGGATGATGACCCACTCACCAATAAATCTTCCTCTCTGAAGACTATGATCAGCTTGTCTCCCATTACAAACTTCAGCCTGGTGCAATGTAGAGGGCATGACCCCAGTTGTGTGGACCCATGGTCGTCCAAGCACGAATAGAATATATATTTTTTTTTGGATGTTGTATGACCCGGTCTAAGTCTGGGATTTTGCTTAACTTTGATCCTGAGATTGAAAGGACCATAAAAACAAGAAAAAACAAACAAAACAAAATTGAATTTCAAACTTTTGAACAAGAGATGACTTTAAATAAAGATAGAACATTGAAAGAACTAACAAATCCTGACATTTGTTATCAACCACTATGTATATAATTACCAAATGTACATGAAGGAACAATGAGTTATGAGTTAAAATCTAGTTTAATACAATGACTCCCAAAGTTTCATTGTCTAGCAAGTGAGGATCCACACAAACATTTGATGGAGTTTCATGTAGTATGTTCAACAATGAGACCTACAAACGAATGACATTTACCAATAATGCCCATTTTTCCTTTTGAGCATTGAGTTCAGAAATAGAGTGATATTCTTTTTCAAATTTGGACATGTTGGACAATGAGAAAATGGAAATAGCAATGTAACAACAAGTGGGAAAGGAAGGACAGATGCTAGAAATGACAAATAGCAAAGGAAGAACAAATGTGAGAAATGCAAGAAATGCAAGAAGTGTAGTGCATGCAATTGATGAAACAACACACACACACACACACAAGTAAAAAGGGGGAAATGTTTCCTGTAAACCTAATTTTCAAAATTTCAAAGTTGAGGATGCACAAACCACTATTACCATTTCACAAACATTTTCAAGAATTGAGGAAAGGATACAAATTACCATTTTTATGCATCTGCAAGTTGTAAACCTGCATAAGTTTCATGATTTCAGTAAAATGGATATGCAAATCCTATCAAAGTCGTAAACCTACAAAAATTAGCAAATTGTTGACCAACCCAACTATAAACCCTAAGCATGTGTTTGACCTTCCAAGCCATAAGTAAAAAGGGGAAAATGTTTCCTGTAAACCTAATTTTCAAAATTTCAAAGTTGAGGATGCACAAATCACTATTACCATTTCACAAACATTTTCAAGAATTGAGGAAAGGGTACAAATTACCATTTTTATGCATCTTCAAGTTGTAAACCTGCATAAGTTTCATGATTTCAGTAAAATGGATATGCAAATCCTATCAAAGTCGTAAACCTACAAAAATTATCAAATTGTTGATCAACCCAACTATAAACCCTAAGCATGTGTTTGACCTTTCAAGCCCTAAGCAACTATTACCAAGACTATAAATCTTCTTTTGGCAAAACACAAATATTGAATTTGATGGGAAAAGACGTTGTGAAGAACATCACCATCTTTATCCCTGAGAATTATCCTACTAATAGATAAATAAGAGAAGAACAATCAACACAAGAATATAACGTGAAAACTCCAAAATCGGAGGAAAACCACAACGTTATCTAATAATAACCAAAAAATACTATGTGAAAATTTTTACAACACATAGACAACTCTCTCATGTCCTTTGATCCCAAGTACAACCATACTCTCCAAAGTAAGAATTTAAATTAATTCTCTCAACACTCTACTACAAGAGTATAAGAAAAGTTAAATACATACTTAAAGTGTCTTTAAGCTCGTTATATAACTACTATTACTCACTTCATTATTTATCCAATATGATGTAGGACTTTTTAAAATGCATTATTTTCATCAACCTAACAAAATTGATGTCAGATTTTATAGTTTCAGATAGTAACACAAAATGAGAAACTGCAACAAAAGTCTTATGTGGAATGAAGTGTGACACAAAAAGAAAAAGAGCGTGAGACCAAAACAAGAGGAGTAAGATGAAGCGAGAGTGAAAAAGATGGACGTGTGAGATGGAAGCATGAGATGAGAAAGAGAAAGCGAGAAAGAAGAAGATAAATGCATGAGATGAGAGCATAAGGGAAAAAATAAAGCTTTAGAAAAAAAGAATGACAATACATGTAAGATGGAAGCCAAAGGAATTTTTTTTTTTTTTTGTTAACATGTGTCCAATTTTCTGTAAGTAGTAAAATTAGTAAAAAAAATAATTTATTTTTTTTTTGGTAATTTTGTGGAGGTGACACATAGTAAAAATTGCCTCCTGTGAGGCCCTCCAATTAAATATTTATAGATTACTTGGTAAGTTTAAAAACGTAAGATTAAGAAAAAGCAAACCTTCCGACCTGCCGGATTCGAACCAGCGACCTAAGGATTGTCTGCAGACATCATCCAACTACAGTCCTCCGCTCTACCAACTGAGCTAAGGTCGGTTTTTATAAACTTTGTTCAACAATTATTTATAAACCATAAAATAAATAAACCTGATAATATAAATGAACACGCAAAAGAATTTTATGCTACATGTAATTGCTTTTCTTTTTTATTAGTTGTCCCATGCCCCACAGGTTTTATGCCATTTCTAAGTTTTTTTTTTCCTGTTCATTAAAACTTTTAAAAATAACGAACTTCTATGTAAATACGCACTATTAGTTAAGCTCAATTTTTTTTCCACGCTTTTGACAACCGTAGTATCCCAGTAACATGCTCTCCAAAATGGCACCTTCTTCGATGAAGTTATCCAATGGAACTTAATGTCGGAACAATTTAATTTTCTAAAATACGTTTTTGAAGTCAATATATAGAACTTCCATATTTCTGTTAGACCCAACTTGTCTAGCTCATGAACACTAAAACGTTTTCTCTCAATTCCCCCATTTCTTATTTCGTTCCATTGACTCTGCTTTAAATTAAAAGCCTTAAAATGTAAAATGTTTGGGAGAAGAGTGGGATGCTACCACAAACATTGAAAACTAAGCGGAAAATCAACAACCAACAAGGGAAAATGACCCGTTTTAAAGCTTCAACAATCTTTTGTTCTTTCGAGGGTGCACGGGAGGTGAATAACTGAAATACAGGCGAATTCCACCAATATCATAGTAATGTGGACTAAAATAACAAAACCCGAGTACGCAAAATTACCTGTTGCTGCTCTGAACCAACATTTACAATTACAGAGTAATTTACAACTATAAAATAAAAAACTCTACGTTGGAGACAAAAAACACAATGCAAAATAATCACGTTGAATACCATTAGCCTGACTGTACACGTAACTTATTTGCCACATGGAGCAAATGACTAATGTTTGTAGAGGGATAACTTTGCAGCAACTTCAGGTTAGAAGTGAAATCACCCGCCAGGAGGCGCCTACGGACGAGAATTAGCATTGCACAGCATATTCTGAGAAGTGTCTCCTACACAGTATCGCATGAGTTAATTTTCCTCCTATACTATTTTTACTGAGTGAAAACATATTTACAGATATTTTGATTAGCACGCTCCTCAGACGTCCTGATCAACCATTATCAGTTCTATGCACAATTTGACAAGCAAAAGGAACTGATTGTTTCAATATCACACTCAAGGAAAGCACATGACTTGTAAGTTGTAACATACCCTAGTACTCTCAAGCGCAACAAAAAAGGAAGTAACTTCGAGTTAAGATTCTATAAATTGCAGGTTACACTAGCAGGATGAGAGCAAATAGAGCTCGCGTTACAAAGTATAGTAAGGAAGAGAACTGTTTTTAATGATGCTTAATACGTTTCTAACTAAGACATTTTCGGGATAGTTGCAGGTTTTCAGTTTGGTTTTCCAATATAAATTGCAAAACATATCGGTGAAACTATTCACTTAGTCCCTATACACACACAAAAAAAAAGCTTCAGTTCCTGTACAGTTTTTGTGTGGCGGTTTATCATCTTCAGAATAAAGTTTCAGCGGCAATTTTATATAAGCCAAAATGTTTTCTTTGGAGTTCTCAACAGGAACCAAAACTTAACTTGTATGCAGGTTTTATGTAGTCAAAAGCTTTTCTGCAGAGTTCTCAACAGGGACCACAACTTATGTACATGTGTAAGGACTAAAACTTCTAGTTTTCTCATTTAGGGACTAAATTAAAAAAAAAAATTACAAGGACCAAATGAATAGTTTAACAAAACATATATATACATATATTCAAATAAAATGAAGCTAGTTTAATTTTAAACTTAATTTTGAAACACATTAAACTTAATTTAAAAAAAAAAATAGAGCTTTGTATTTCAATTATTAATTATAAGAACAATTCATTCAAACCTTCTTGAACAGCATATCTTGGGGGCAGCAGCAAGCATCTCAGGCCCTTCCACGGCACAATAGATGGCTAAGGCCAACCATTTGACAAATGCTACCGCAATGCCTCCTCAAGGAGAGCATGCATGTTATGATGCTGGCAATAAGATGACTATCATAGGACACGGTCTAGTATATAAAATGGATGATGCACGATGAGTATCAAAACACACTGTTTCTGTCATGAATACACTGGTCATACAGAATCAAAACGAACTCAGCTGGCTGAATTTGGGGCATGAAGATATGCATTGCATGGCCAAAAGACAACCAACATGCAGAAGCAAGGGCCTGCTGTAGCTTGATGTGGACATTCCCATCCACAACTGTAATTGCACGGAAAAGCCATTGGTGGCTTGAGGAAAGAGTTTATCAATCGCGGATGGCAGATGGCGAAAGGCAGTGGCCAATGCCAAACACGCTACATCCAAATGGCAGAAAGAAGGATGACTGCTATTTAATAAATTGTGTCATATCGCTAAAAAAAACTCAAATTTCATGAAATACTCGTACTAATAATAATAATAATAATAAAAAGCTGCAAGTCTTATTGTATTAAGAAAAACATAAGGAGTAGTTGGCTAGTTGAGGAAAGATGAAATAGAAAGAGATTTCGTTAGGGGGAGAGTGAATTGAGAAGTGTGGGGACTCATGTGGTTTCAGTTTAAAATTTGGTATTGAAATTTGAAAACCTAAAATCAATTGAGAACTAATTTATAAAACTGAAAACCAGTTTTAGGTTTTAAAAATTCCAAAACTTAAAACCGACAAGCAAACCAAACCAACTAAAACTAGTTCCCCTCTCTTGTTGCCAGTCTTTGGTGGATGAAATTTCCAAGAAGGGTTTTGGGGCGTAGTGGTGTTTCCTCTTTTTTCTCTGCCAAATGTGTTTCTGCAGTTTCTTATGGGGGTTTTGTTTTATTTTCCTTCAGCTGTGACTTCTTTTGGAGGATAACTTAAAAACTAAGTCCTGATTTTTTTCAGCATTGGTTATCCACTTCAACATTATTAATGTACAACTAATAAAGTGCAACCTCCTATTTAAATTTAAATAGGTCAATTCCTTTCCTTTGTATTAGCTATCTAAAAGTAACTCTACAGCTTAAAATCCAATGCCATAGTTAAGTGTGGTGGATCATTAGGTTAAATGTCAGTCAAATAATTTAATTTTTTTTCTAGAGAAAAAAGTTTAGGGGAGTCCAATATATTACAAGGTAAATAGGAACAAAACTGTACCTGTGGACCCTCTGGATCACTTAAAATGATGTCCCAAATATGAAGGATGTCAGAAAATTTAAATTCCTGGGTCAAGAGGAGAGTAATCCACCTAAATGCATAGAATTGGGGATTGACCTGACATTTAGGATTAGAATCAGAAATGTGAGATTTTTCATTTTTCTGATCAACTGGTCATAACCAAATCAAACAAAAATCATCAGGCAAATTGCCGCTCGAGACAGTATACTGACTAAGTAAAAATTAAAGTGACACTTAACTAGTAGGGGAACATAAAACAGTCAAACCAGAAAAATGAAAAAAAAGGTCCAAAAAGAAAAGGTGTAACATACAGAAGAGCGCTTCACAGAATAAATGAAGCAGGTAAGAAACACACTTTCTAGATCATTTATTATTTAGTTTTACTAATAAAATATTGGAGCACTGAAATTCTTTTAAATAGAATTTAATAAAACAGAGAAGAGGTGAGAAGACAATGTCTTTATTACTCAAGCCTTGTATCATTTGCCAAACAAAATGAAAAAACCGCAACTGCTCTAAGAAAACCTTATCTCCCATAACCCTTACTTTTTCTGTTATCAAATTGTTAAAGATATTTTTATTTTTAGATAGAACACGTACTTAAATTGCCTCTTACCTGAGTAGTGATCTCAAGATGACGCCACAGTTCTTCATCGTGTTCCTTTAATAGCTGGGACAATCTTGTAATAGTGGAACGGATTCCAACAATACTATTATCAAGCTGTTGACAAAAATTATCTTGGAACCCACTCAATAGCTCAACAAAACAAAAGAATGTGTCTGCTTCAGCAAAGGCCTGCATTTAGTTATTGGAAAAAGCTGGGAAAATTCAAAATCATATGAGTCAAATAAACTACGTTACTCAATCACTGCTATCTGAGCAACTTTTAGGAGACAAAAACCTCTTGTCACCATCCCCATGGCCATAGTAGTTATTTTACCATTTTTCATTTCATTTTAGACACATGGAAACATTGAATATCACAGATGGCAATATTTCTTGTCCCAATTTCCATAGTAAGCAGTTCTACATTTGCTAACTCAAGAGAAAAGCGGTGTAGGAGATCTTGCAAGGTTGTACTCACTGCATTTTCCTCATCAGGGTCATTTTTGAACACATAGAATAGAGGAGCTAATACTTCATTCATCCCTTGAACATATCTTGTACCTGGGTTCAACTTTGCAGAAATTATTAATATGTTCTTTAAAGCATCCTGAAAATTCCCCGAAAGTTGAAAGTCAAGAAAAAGGTTGATGCCAAGAAAAAAGGATTGAGTTACTGAATTTGTCTGCATGAATTTAAAATAATTAGAGGTACAACCTGATTAGATTTTGCCAATTGAGAATCACCGGAGAAGAAGTGTATATCTGGATGAGTACGTTTGACATCACGGTCAATCTGCTCTATGAGCTCTGTGTCCTTGAAAAAAGAAAGAAAGAAGAGTAAAGGAGATTATTAGATTAAGTATGGAGTAATAGTGATGACACAGTAAGGTGCGTAGAAGTTCATAAAAGATTAAAATATTGATAACAGAAAGATCATTAGCAGTATGTGGTAAACTAATTCCCCCCATAGCACAGTGGTCTTGTTTGCACAAACAAGGCAAGACTTGGGGAAGTCAGATATCAGAAACTTGGTATCCAATAGATAATAGTATAACTTTAAGTGTAGAAAGTAACGTGCAGAACTGCAGAAATGGCTTTGTAATTTCTAAACAGTAAAAGTAGGTGATATTTATGAGTAAATAAGATACATATTTAGATTTATAGAGAAAAGATTGCACATGACATTATATTGGTACCTGGAAGAACTGATTCCATATGCTGGTCTTGCCAAGACTCAAAGGGTGGTCCTCATGAGTGATCTGTGATCTAGAAAGCAAGATACGAGTTTCAGATTTTGCATCATCGATGTCATGAGTAGCAGAGTTGTAGATCCTCCTCGTGATTTCTGACTGACTAGGCACAGAAACATTCAGAAATATGTGGTTGGGGAGTGTATAAGTAATTAAGTAATTGATGTAAGTAACGAATTTACAGGATTCATGAGGAGGTCGTCTTTGAAATGTTTGTACTGGGACCTCTTCTTGGCTAATTCAGAGGACCAAAGGGAACGATCGGACGGAAGATATCCAAGCAAGAGCTGGGAAGGTTAAATAGCAACATGAATTGTATTTGTGATTGTGTCTGTGCGTGTGGGAAATGGGATTAAATTGGTAAAGAAAGGGTAGGTACCTTCCAGAGCGTAGGACGTAAAGCAGGGGCGGCAGCATGAGGTATGCCTTGAGAAGCCACTCTCCTCAGCTCGCGCATGTCTATCACCTTCCTAGATAACTAATCACAAACTAACTTAGCAACCAAAAAAATTAAATCAAGCAATTAACCCATGAATGAGTGATTGTTTGAGAAAGCTAACCTCGGTCAACAACTGAGCCTGAGAAGAGATATCATCGGCGGCGGAGAATGCAGAAGCAGACGAGACGACGGATGAAGAAGAAGGAGAGGCATTGTGATTAGTTGGGGGATCATCTCTGACAGAGACGGAGGGGGGCGGAGGAGGGGGAGGAGGAGGAGAGGGAGGAGAGGGAGGGTTAAAGCGATGGTGGTCGGAAGGGGTGGACCACAGAGAACTGTTCATCCACTCCGGTACCTGTTTCTTCTTCTTCATCATCATTGTTGTTATTGTTAGTTTCTATCTAGGGTTTCCTTGGCTCAGGGACAGGAATGGAACAGATTTGATTTGTTTAGAATGCATAAGAAGAAGAAGAAGAAGAAAGTGAGATTGAGGGTCGAAATGGAAATGGAATTGGAGGAGAAAATATTAAACTGAAAAAGAAGCAATGCATTTCTTCCTATAGTCTTGCATTTATTAAACACATGTCCCCGCTACAAAATGCCACCACAACACAACACAACACAATACAGTACACCACTGCATCACAACAACTACACCATACACCAAATGCCTTCATGCTCCCATCTTTCTCACTCCCTTCCTGTAACTCTTTCTTCATTTTTTTTCTAAATCACTTTTATATTAGAACAATTTTTCCCCACATCTAAACTTACCTCATAATTAACAAAAAGTTCTATATAAATTTTGAAACTTCTAATCTCAATCTATAAAAATTATTTAATTGCTAATTTGCAAATTCATAACTAATAAATATTCAAAACGATGATAAATATTATTTATTATTATGATAAAAAAAATAGAAACAAAAATTACTATAATTGATGAAGAGGAACACTCATCTTAATAAATAAAAATTAAACTTTTTATTTATTGTTTTTTTATAATATAATGATTAAGAGAAATTATTTTATTAAATTAAAAAATATTATAATTTTTATCTGAATATATTGTAATATAATTAATTATAATATTTAAAAATTAACAAAAATATTCATAATATACTCCTTTATACATAATCATTATCGATTATCTAATTTTTGCATAAGAGTAAACAAAAAAATCATTTATTTCTGAATTTTCTATGACAAACAGAATTTAATAAAACCTTTTACAATCGTTCATAACATTATTTGACGAGTTTAAAAGAGCTTACAGAAAGTTAATATAAAAATTCTTCACAATTATCATAAATGAGTTATTTATTAATATTTAATAGGACAGATCAAGGGTGAATTTACTCGCATACAATTCTAGCTATTCTAACAACACAAACTTAAGTAATTGAAGAATTGGTTAAATGCAGTGTCTTTTGTTTGTGTTAAGTCGAACTACCATGACTTGAAGTAGATTTCTTTCTTCTTCTTTTTTTTTAAAGTACTTATGAATAAGTTAATCCAACGTACATGATGACTACTATCATATTTCATAATTTTGCTCATGTTTTATCAATGGTGTTAGAACCTAAAAGAATTAGGTTTTGCTGTGAGAATTCTGGGCACATTTTCAGTAAAGCTACAACTTGGAGAATGTTTGAACGACTTGAATCAAGAGGCATCACCAGCCTGGTCTCGTGATTTCCATTGTACCTGAAATTCCAAGTTGGAAGAAACTTGAAGTAATCTTGGTTTGTTGTGTACCTTTTAAAAGTAGTATCTTCTCTCCAAAATTTCAATGGTGAGTGCGAAAGGAGTTTTCTTCTACTTAAAAATGTCATCATAAATTCTAATTTTGTTTTCTTTCATTTTCTACTTAAAAAAACGTCAATTTTATTTATCTACATACTACATTTTTTTTTCTTTCTAAAAATACTGTCCCCCTGCTTCAGTTCCTGCAGACTTAGAGGTGACTGGCTTTTTCTTCTGTACATTGTTGAGAGGAAGTAAAGACGCAATTAACGGGTGGAGTAATGCCTATGCGAAACACCACTGTGGTCTGAAATTAACTGAGTATTCCATTTTTTATGTTGTCAATCTGGATATACTCGCTACATTAAGTATTCTGAAATTGATTTAACAAATGTAATAATCAACTTCAGTCCAGAGTTTGTCACTAAGCTTTCTAAATAAAATTTGTATGTGCCAAGGGTATGCAGTTGAGAATTTGTTGTCCAGTAATTAATGTAGGATCATAGTTTTGTAATTTTTCAGATGCGTGTCAACTATAAAGTCTGGGGGGAATAATTTGTGTTTGTAAGCTTCACCAACCAGTTTCTAAAACCATGTCAAGATCACCATACAGATAGATGAAGAAGCTCTAAATGTTTGAGCAATGAATCCTGACAACCATATTGTCACTTCCAACCAAGAGAAAGTAAGAGTTGCTCGCACCATAAAGAAGAAACATAAAGTAAAAGCAAATGAAACCGACCATAGCTTTAATCAGTCGTGGTGTTATTTACAGTCCAGGCAAGAAGCTGGGGAATAATACAGTTTTTAGTCAGAGTAACAGTAACCATATGCTACCTACATTTTCAAAACTAGTCTAATAGACAAAACCATTCTAATCACAGTAAAGATATCAGATCATTTACAAGTCTGTAAGTAAAGATAGAAAAACAATCTTCCCGAAAACAAGAAACCTCTTTTTTGAAAACTACTTACCAATTTCAAATACTCTTTCACATAATAAAGAAAAAATAATCCAAAATAATGTTCTTCTTTACTAGCTTTGCACTGCCAGTACCTGCAACTGATCTAGAAAAACTTCCAAGCTCATGTCATCAGTAAATATAATATCCGATCCATCTGTGTAGGTTGAATTTTGAGTAACAGATGGGTTCAACTTGGCGAGAAGAAATCTAGCCTGACTGCTATGTTGGTCACATCTAATAATCCTCGGCACTGGAACCCTGTCCGCCACCAGTTGCTCTGCATCCAGTTCTGGGGCTTCCAACAGCTTTCTGAAGTTCTCATGATTGGGGTCCTTATCATAACCCAGCTTCCTCCATTGGGCTATCTTGGACCCATAATGAATGACCACATAGAAGAAAGAATCAAAGAGCAAGATAAAATCAGGAGAAACAGAACGAATATCTAGCAGTACTGGAACAGGTGGCCCGTCGAACGAATATTGGAAAAGCGTAGGTTGAATCATTATAAGTGATCCTACTACTCCCTCGCGGTTCAGCATGAGCCGGAAAAACGCAGTTTCATCAGGAGTAGTGTTACAGACATCAATAAATTGAGATCGCCTCAAGTGGAACATAAACTGGGGATAAAGGGAAAAGTTGGAGGATAGGCGGAAGGAAGATGGATCTTCTGGCACATAGTCCCCAAACTTGGAAGTAAAACGTATGAGCGCGTCATCCAGCCATCTAATTACATCACGGGCATGGCATGACTGTGCACGGAGAATTGCAAGTCTTGCCATAACTGCAGCGGCGGCTTCTTGATCAAACCCAGCAGCAATATCAGCAGAATGGTTGGCAACCCATCGTCTTGCAGCAGTGGTCACTCTTTTCTGGTATCCCATGTTCCCCTGCCTGTACCGCGTGATAAACTGAATCAAAAATGCAGACCCGGGTTGAATTTTCTGCTGCTGATTCACTTGGAAGAAAAAAGCAATGCAAGTTTTGTGGGTGAGCGTGTTTAACTTCCACATAGAGGTACCACCCTGTCCAACCTCAGCCTCACTCACCAAACTGTTCTTTCTGTGAAGAGACACACAAGGGCCAAGTGCTCCACAGATTTTGACATCTTTGGTAGTCACTATTTCAATAGTGGCATCAAAGTTCATCTTCAAATGGCCCTGCTCGTCAGACTTGAACATATGCCTGAGACATTTCTTGAACTGATCAGATTCGAAGGATTCGCAGAGAATCATCAATCCACCAGATTGCTCAACCGGTTCTCGTAACTCGGCGGCCCCAACTTGATCGAGCGAACAAGCAAAGAGATCAAGAACAACAGAGGCGTCAGATAACCTCTGGGAGAGTTGGTTATAGAAAGCGCAAGAGCTAGCGTGGTGTCTGGCTTGGGAATTGAAGATGTGATGGTGGGTTCTGATGGGATGGCGGAGATCAGGATCAACAACGATTCCGGGTCCGAGAGTAGCAGGTCCGGAGGTGAAGAGCATGATCCTGGAGCCTGTGGTGACGAGGCAGGACTCTAGAAGTCCGAGGGCAACGGAAATGGCAGCCCCGGTGCACCTTGGAGGGCGAGTGCCGGAAGTGAAGACGAATGTAGAATGGATGTCTTCAATTGCAGCAGTGATGGAGAATTCACATTCGGAAATTGGCAACAGAAAACCCTGTTTGGGCGTCTGTCCATGATGCAGCGGGTGGGGGCGGCCAATGTTGAGGAACTGTCGGATCTAAGAGGCAAATAAAGTAAGATTGAATTATGTCAGTTGGTGATTGAATGAATTGGATTGAGCGTAAAAGTAAGATTGAATGAAATGATGGTAGGTACCTGATTGGAGGAGAGATTGCGGTTGCCGTGAAAGAGGTGGAGCGAGGAACAGTGGGGAGAGGCGAGATGGTGGAGATAGACCATGGAGTCGAAGGTGAGGAGAGCGACGAGGGCGTGGTCGGGGAGGTGGTGGAGGAGGAGGAGGAGGTCGTTCTTGAGGGAGAGGAGTTGGTCTTGGGGGGAGGAGATATCGAGGAGAAAGACGAAGGCAGGGGGAGAAGGAGAGGGAGAGGAGGGAGGGAGAGGAGGAGAGTACTCGACGGTGCTGTAGGTGGGGAAGAGCTCTGCAGGGAGGTTGGTGTCGGCGATGGGGCGAGGAAAGGGGTTGCGGAGGGAGCAGAAGGGGCAGTGCCAGATGCGGGACTGGTAGTCGAGGCGTGCGTAGGGGTTTAAAACGGCGGCGCATCGGGAGCAGAGGAGAGGATTGTATGGGAGAAGAGGGACCTCACTCAACATCATGGGACTGCACATTATGCTCAGAGGTATCACCAGATTCGTCCCTTCCGCCACCCACGAATTCCACGTCCATCGGAGCCCTTCCACTGCCTCCAATTCCACCAGGTCCATCTCTCTCTCTCTCACTCTTTACTTTCCTTCCCTTGCGCTTTCCACCCACCCAATTCCCATTCCTTTCTTTCTTCCTTCCTACCTCTACCCTAACAGAACACCTCCAATCTGCTTAACTATTATTAATTACTCTGTTGTTATTTTTTAACATATATTCTTATACAAAATAATGAAGACCTTAACCTTATTTTATACTCAACTATTGTTTTTCTTACCGACCTAATTACCCCCAAAATCTTGTATAATGACCACCTATAGTTATTGTCATTATTATTTACTAATTTCACTTATGGGTGATGTTTTCATAAGTTTATTATTTATGCAATTCTTTCAAATTATTTTTTTTATAACCACTTAAATATATTGTGTTTCGGACCTTACTGTCTAAGGTTTATTATAAATAGAGTCTTTATCTAGTAAAATAAATAAGTGTGATAATCACTTGTATTATCATTTGTTAAAACTTATTTATTCATAATTTTGCAATAAAATTATCTTCAATTTTTTATTATTTTCAAGTCTTAAATTACTAATTTGTATAGTTCAACATATTACCATTTACACTCCTACATTTTTTGTACAAGAATGAAAGTCTGAAATCTTAAAAGAGGGAAGTTATTTTTAGGGATGTAAAATTCGGACTAAAATAAACTAAAAAGATTATTATTTTATATTTTAAAAAAATCTTATTATTAAAGAATTAAGATTTGCGTGTTATAAGAGTTTGAATACAAAATTACAGACAACTTATATTAAATTTTTATATGCTTGGCAACTTAAAAAAAATCATAAAAATATTATTTATTTTATTTATGTTATTGTTGACATGTAGTTAGTGTTTTTATCTCATTTGTATTTCAAATATATTTTTAAGGCTTTACTAGTAAATATATAAATGGTATAAGAAGTACAAATTCATATTAAAACAATTTGATTTATGATAATACTTATTAAAAAAATATTTTAAAACATGTTTTATAAACTTTATAGAATATTAATCAAATAAAATTGCCATATACTGTACTAGATAAGAAAGAAAATCTATTTATATAAATATTACACTAATTTATTTATTTATTCCAGAATGTGATAAACAGTGTGTATTTAATATACCAGACGGGGTCTATGCATGAAAACGTGTGAGATCTTTTAATTTTTTAAGGAACACAAATATTGAAACTTTAAAAACTTTAGAAGCAAAAAAGGATTTAATTAAAATAGAAGTTTATTAGCCCATGAAAAAACATTATATTAATTTTTTTTAGAATACAATAAAAGTGTGTACTTAATACACCGGCATGAAAACATGTGAGACTTTTTTTTTCTTTAGTTTTTTAATACACATATTGAAGCTTTAAAAAGTTTAGAAGAAAAAAAAGGAAATTAATTAAAAAATAAAAATCTGTTTATTTTGGTCCATTAGAAGAAAATCTGTTTTTTAATACACATATTGAAGCTCAATTAAAAACATTATACTAATTTTTTTTTAGAATACAATAAAAGTGTGTACTTAATACACTAGTTTTTTAATACACATATTGAAGCTTTAAAAGTTTAGAAGAAAAAAAAAAGGAATTAATTAAACAAAATAAAAATCTGTTTATTTTGGTCCATTAAAAATTTTCCACGTACTCTGTAATTGTGATGCATAGCAATGTAGGTAGTAGGTAGTACATAAGACATGATTGTTGAACTTTGACCTCTCTCATTCATTCACTATTTAAGCATTCATATGTGAACTGAGTGCACTGCAATTGGGTCCTGAAATGGGTTACTGGGTTGTATTGTGTTTGTCAGTGTTGTACTTGTCATTGAGTTCAGTGATTGTTGATGGTGACGATGAACATCCCATCCCTACCACTCTGGAAGGACCCTTCAACCCTGTCACCGTTCCGCTCGATCAGAGCTTCCGAGGCAACGCCGTAGATTTGCCAGACACCGATCCTCTCCTTCAGAGAACCGTTAAAGGCTTCCAACCGGAACAAATCTCTCTCTCCCTCTCGGCTTCTCACCACTCTGTTTGGATTTCTTGGATTACAGGTTCCTACTTCTCCCACTTCCCAATGCATTTCTTGTTTTTTCTTCATTCCTTCCTTCACGTGAATGCCTTTTCTCTCGCTTTAATTTTATACAAACAAATATGCAATGCAATCAATGGTGCTTTCCTACGATACCACCCACCACACTCCTCCCCCTTTCTCTTCACTCTATAATTATGCGTTTTGGATAGCTTTATATAACATGTGCCTGCCATAACTTACAAATATTAATTACTCAATTCTTTTTCATTCACACGAAAGAAAATAATAAATTATGAAAAAAAAATTAAATAAATAAAATAATAAAATTAATTAGTTAATTATTATTTTTTAATCACACATAAAAATATAAAGTAAAAAATAAAACTTTTATTTTTTATCATTTTTTATTTTCTTTTTAATTGTGTTTATTTTCTTTTTTATCTTGCATTCTTTTATGATTTTCTCTATATGTTTTATAGATTTGTATGAAAAAATAATAACAAATTTTTTTTTTATATAATCATTAATAATAATGTGATTTTGACATGTTTTAATTAAATAATATAGTTTTTTTCTATTAAAAATATTAATGATTATTTTATAATGATATGAGTGTATAAAGTTTTTATATTTTTTATTATTATTATATTTTATTAAAATTCTCTTAATTTAAAAAATACTAACAATTAATAGATAAAAGTATAAAAAAGAAAAAATAATTAAATGATTAATAAATAATAATTATTATAATAATTAAGAGATACATTAAATAAATATAATTATAAAATATATCCATAACTTTTACGTATTTTTATCACTTTTTATCAAACCCTTGAGAAAAAATTAATTTTACTCTAATAACAATCAAATATCTACATTTTTATAATATCATATTTTGCTGCAATCAAAGTCAATTTCATTAGTTTTTTTTGTTTTTCCTTATTATCTTTTAGATGAAGTGCTTTACGTATCTATGTTTTTATCCGCAAAACGAGTTTATTCTAAAATTTAATGTAAATTTTAAGTTTTTGTTATTACTTGCAGTCAGATCAATATTTTGAAGTCAAATTAATTTTAGACTAATTATATATGTATATCCATTATTTGTTGAATCAATTTTTTCTTAATTCTTTCCGATAATAACATATAATCTATATTTTTATAACATCAAATTTGACTAGAGTAATATCAATTATGAAATTCAACAAACTCCAAAAAACCATTAATTACACAATTTGAGGGAAAAAAATATCTTTGAAAAAGCGCCATCAATTGTTAGTGTCGAATTTTTGTATATGTTTTTTCCTAAAGGCCACTACATAACTCATAATTCATGTCAATTGAAGTGACTATAAATTGGGTTTGGGTTTTGTTACATAATAAATAACTAATGCTTGTCTATAAAACGCATTTGTCAATTATGTTGGATTATGTTTGCAGGGGAATTCCAAATTGGGGATAATATAGAACCCTTGGATCCTAAAACTGTTTCGAGCATAGTTCAGTATGGAAGGTTTGGAAGGCCTATGAATCACCGAGCTACGGGTTATTCCCTCGTTTACAGTCAACTATATCCTTTTGAAGGTCTTCATAACTACACCTCTGGAATTATACATCATGTTCGTCTCACAGGTATAACACTTTCTACAAGCTTCACTTCTAAGTTCTAACCAACCCACATCCATTTATGGTTTGAATGAATGAAATTAATCCATTAATTACCTAGTCATTCTAAGTCAACTTTGTACTTGCAAAGTTTAGAGTTGTGTTGTATTTTCCGCAGGATTGAGACCCAACACGCTCTATCAATATGAATGTGGAGATCCTTCTTTGTCAGCAATGAGTGATGTTCACTACTTCAGGACTATGCCAGTTTCTGGGCCCAAGAGCTACCCTAACAGAATAGCAGTGGTTGGAGACTTGGGTCTTACATACAATACCACATCCACTGTTAACCATATGACCAGTAACCATCCTGATCTTATTCTGTTGGTTGGAGATGTTAGTTATGCCAACCTCTATCTTACTAATGGTACTGGGGCAGACTGCTATTCTTGCGCATTTCCTAACACTCCAATCCATGAAACGTATCAACCTCGTTGGGATTATTGGGGAAGGTAACATTTTCACTTTCTTCCTTACCAACCTACCTTTCTTTCATCATTCTTTTTGTTTACCTATTAGATAAGAAAATCCTTATCTTCATTTCAGATACAACTTTACTTTTTGTTCATTCAGGTACATGCAGCCGCTTATTTCTTGCGTACCAATAATGGTAATAGAAGGGAATCATGAGATAGAAGCACAAGCTGAAAACCACACATTTGTTGCATATAGTTCTCGATTTGCATTCCCATCAGAAGAGAGTGGATCATCGTCCACTTTCTATTATTCTTTCAATGCTGGAGGGATACATTTTATAATGCTCGGGTCCTACATATCGTATAACAAATCAGGTTAACTCTTGTTTCATCTTATTTCTTTACTATCTTCGACATGGTCCCTATTCTTCGTATTATTAGCATGCTTTTGACTTCACAAAAGCATTGCTGTTTATTTACATTCATGTTACTCACTGCTAGTGTCATCCCCTCTGTTATTGCAGGGGACCAGTACAAGTGGTTGGAGAGAGACTTGGCTTCTGTTGACAGGGAAGAAACTCCGTGGTTGGTAGCTACTTGGCATGCACCTTGGTACAGCACCTACAAAGCACATTATAGAGAAGCAGAGTGTATGAGGGTAGAGATGGAAGACTTGCTATATAAATATGGCGTTGACATTGTCTTCAATGGACATGTAAGTATATTATATGAATATGATCCATAATATTAATTTTGTGATCTCTATGAATGAAAAAAACATTGCTGAATTAAGGATTTTGTGTGAAAGCATACTTGTTGCTTGCTCTATATTTATCTATGATCCCATGGATAAATTGAGAGGTGAAGTTTAATAAAAGCGCATACAATTGCCGTTTTG